ATGATGTAGAGACAATAGACGCTGGGGAATTGTGGGTATCTAAATACACCCTTGATTCATGTCAGATTTCATGATATTTCAAACTGAGTAATCCTAGCAGAAATGTGGCTCCCTTGAACTGAATGTTTGCAGATTACTGCTTTTGCCCACAAACCGACTGAAACCAAAAGAAACTCAACACAGTGATGCCAAATACACTGCGGTCTAATGTCACCTTATATTCTCCTCGGGAGAGAATCCCATAATCATGCAGTTTCTTGCATTTGAAGCGAAAGTTGATTTGCCGCATTGAATGTCGAAACCCTTTCTCAGTGACCAACTCAGTAATACAAAAAAAGAACAGTTGACAGGGTTATTTTTATGAATTTAGAGGGTTTGGGGTTTATTTAACCCTGAATAGAAAATGCGACGCATAATGTGGGAGCAAAAGGGTCAGTGTACCATGAATTGATATCAGCATCAAAGCCATGCTGAGCTTGTTTGGCTGAGTGTGTAAAAAAGAGTTGAGAGTGAAGGAGGAAGCCCATCTGATTAGGCAGCACTTTCCCAGCACTGTGCTTCTGGGAGGACATTGATTTTGGCCCGTGTTTTGCAGCTGCAGGATGTCGCTTGTCTGAAGTCCCTGCTAGGCCCTGCGAGGAGGCTAACTCGGCCCCATCCAAAACAAAGACTACAATAGGATATGGAAGGCAAACACCAAACGCGGGCAACCTTTGCCTCAGTTTGTGTTCCTAGACTAAGCGAGACGGGTCAAGTGAAGCTTGTTTCAACATTAGACATGTTGTAGATTCAATGTTATGGCCACTGCGGGTCTGAGATGTCAGTTTGAAAGCATATAATTACTTTAAATGTTGCATATGGTGAATATAGACTATACAGTTTTATGACAAGACCCTGCTTATGTGCTTTGTTGTAAAATTGAATATCTATGCTGAAGTATGCCAGATATGCTTTATTTATATTTTACTAGTCCATGTTAGAAACTTACTTTGCCAAGGAAAAGTCACCAGACAAGAAAAGTGACCGTAACACAAGCCAGCTCGAGCTGAACTGGTGTCTTGTTTCACTTCGAGAAACATCAGCGTTCGCTTGGGTACTTCTAGCGTGGTGAGCATGTTTAAACCCAGCCATGAAAACCTTCTGTGAAATGAAATGTTTCCCACCCATATTATGACAGCTTTGTCCTGAATATAGACAAAAATAGATGCCTGAGACACCGCAAATGATTTGTGTACCTGAAATGCTTTATTTTTTACTCCTTGTTTGAAGTAAGGGCATCCAGCAGAAAAGAAGAAGTCACCCTGCATTTAACTCCCCAAGACATTTATGGACACAATGGGGTTTCAGCATGGACATGACAGCGTCTGAGGAGAGCCAAAAACATACTTCGAGTAGCTGATGTCAGTCTCTGGGAAACAGGTATGTCAACAGGCTCATCCCTGACCTGTCAGAGGTGTGAATATGTACTTGTGGGTGATTATTTGATTGATAAGGATGTTCAAATTTGACCTTTGAAGCAGCCGAATAAACAAAAATTCCACGAGTTTGTAAAACTGAGTCTATCGTCTATTTGCAAGACGATAGACTCAACCCTTCTGTAGATGGTGAAGTAGAGTACAAATGATGACTGATGCACAGTTTGGTTGCAGCAGCCTGAAGAAGGTAGATGGCAGATGGCTCACTGGAAAAGTACTCAGTCACTTACTCACTCACTCATTCACAAAAAGTTTTGGAATCCAGCTGATGAAAAGCATCTTATTAATTTAAGCCAATCTCTCCTTCAAGGTCAACACCTTGTGAAGCAATGCACCACCACATATCCTTGCTATGTCTGGGTTGCTCTTTGGAAGATTTGCTTGCAAATGTTTTCACATTTGCAAAGAATTCATTCCCCAGGGTAACATCCTGACATGTGTACCTGAGTTATGGTCCATGTCTGCACTGAAGGAGTTTTTTTGCTCACCATCCGCCATCCTGGCCTGACTCCCTTCTTCCTAAAAACTACAAATGCACAAGTGCAAGTGGGCAAAAGAGAACATCTACCAGGAAAAGTCTTGGATGTGGTGCAGAGCTGCATAAGAAAATGACCTTGAAGGGAGCCAAATTTAAATCAAGTTCCATTACTTTTTCATTTCACCTTGTAAAGAGGAACTGAGAATGAACGTGAGCAAACAGAGCATGAGCTTGACTCTTGTCTGCAGGTTTTATAAAGCTCAAAATTAGAGAGGCTGTTTCTATTGCATTATTTTATTGTTCCTGTTTAAGCCAACATGAACAATAAAATCACCGTCTTCTGACCAATCGAATCCCAATGAGCCGATTTCATGATGGGCCTTTCATTGAGTTGAAGGACAAAGTCAAGCATCAAGGTAATCTGTCAGTTTTAATTTCTGATAATTTATATGCAAAACTTTCCTTATCATCCAAAACACTTGTCTATAGGACTTTCTGGATTAGCTGCATTAGCTTTGTAGTGAGTGTGGTTCTCAAAGATAATGATGTGTCTATCTCAGCCTACAGCAGCCTAACGTCTAAGCTCCTGAGGGTGACAGATCTTTATTTGGCAATAAAACTCTGCTGACTTATTTATTTTCCCCTCGCCCCATAAGCACAAGGAAGTAAAAAATCTATGCAGACACTCTTCCTCTCTCTAAGCTCACTAAAAGCCAGTTTCACCCAACCTGTTTATGCTTGCATTACAAGGTGATTTATGATCTTGTGCGTAACAGAATTTACACTGCTGGTTTTTTAAATTCACTGAGCCCTTATTTTAGCTTTTTCTTTCCTAATAGCAGCTCCATTTTGATGTCCTCAAGCTGCTCTGCTGCTATGCCAGTAAAGGATTTTTGGGAGGTTTGCAGACAGAGCGAGGCTTGGACAGGGCACAGGGTGCATTTCCGATGGTTGAGCTGCAAGGGGAACAAACTAAACATAGTTGTTGTGCTTCGGGGGGACTGAAGAACAAGGAAAAATACACTGAATAAAAACGAAGTCTCTCCCAATATCCCCTCTGAGGCAAAGCGAAGCCAAGTTTTCAACCATTCTGTGCAGTCAGGGAGGGCACAGAGGTTGTAGAGTACAGAGACGATAAAGTGGAGGAGACTTTTTCTACAGCTGTGCACCAAATATATATTTTAAAAAAAAAACCTTCTAACCATCCACACAAAAGATTTATCCCTCTTCTTCGTTATTATACTCAAACTGTGACAAAGTCTTTCTCATACTTCTCGCCATTATTAGATTTGGATGGCTCTTTGCACATTTGGAAACTGACTCCTCGCACTCACCCACTCCTGGTTCATAATCTATCAACCTGCCAAGGTCCTTATGAAGTCTCCATCCTCTTTGTAAATAAACATTTCACCACCTTCACACTTGAGGGAGACTTAAATGTTTCAGCAGTTACAGTTTATCCGACAGGTCGGTAATTCACGTGTGTTATTAGGAAAAGTGGTGCACCTTCAGACGAGATCGCAGATGCATCATCATCGCCTCGGTAGATGCTGGCACAGGCCGACAGTGTAAGCCAGTTGAAGTGGATTTATTGCTGCAGCATCTGGGGACTGAACATCTGTTTTACTTCTCCAGCTTTCTGATTGTGTTTAACTCGTTTTTTGGGGAAGTCTTTGAGTGGGTCCTCATAAGATTTTATTCTTCTTGCTTAACTACCACGTGCTGGGTGAGGGATTAGCAGCATCATACTAAAAAAAATTCTTGCTGGTTAAAAATCTGAATCAGTAGCTTTTTGGCTGTTTGAATGTAAGGTGTATGGTGTTGTATAAAATAAAACCTAAAATAACCAGGCTGAAGCCATCCAAAGAAAAAGTATTTAAAGAGTCAGCAGTTAGACTGGCCAGGTGCACTGACAAAGTTTGGCTACCAGAAACCTGCAGGCTTTCCTGGTAAAGCACTAAAAAGCACTAAACATGCCTCTGTTATACCTTTCTATACTCTCTGATCATCATCATCATCATCATCATCAGAGAGCAACTTGTAGACTGGAAGAGCCAGTGAACTGAACCTTTAGGATAGTAGGCAACCTGCTCAACCACCCAAGGTACAGCCATCCCTACTAGAGTGAGGGCTGCCGTTAAATAGATGTTACCACAACACCCTGACACAGAATCAAATTGTTTACAAGTTATTTAGCACCAGATTCTCGATTGGGGAGAGGTGACCATCATTCAGCCATCCTCCAGCCCCGTCACGAACAGCTGTCCTTTACCGGCAGGCCAGCTATTTGAGACAAACCGAAGATCCACAGCGATACAGTATCAATGCATCTAGACATCATTCTGACTTAGAGGCTTTCATTTAAGATCCCACAGATGATAGCTTTGCATGTTTGGCTCCTCAGCCAAGCGCACGCACCAAATTTCTGATCTTAAATTGGCATTTGAAGAGTAACAAATGGGCCAGTATTTATAAAACACCTTTCAGTTTGAGTACTCAAAATGCTTTCTACTACAAGCCTCGTTCACATTTTTTTTCTATACTTACAATAACATACTCACACAAAAGCAGTGGGGACAATTCCAACTTGAGTATCTTTCCCAAGGATACATCAAGGTACAGACTAGATAAGTTGGGACTGAACTACTGACCTTCCCGTTAGTAGATGACCTACTCAACCTCTTGAGCAACAGCTGCCCACAGAAGCAGCTAAAATGTGTCACTGCTAAAAGGAGTTGAGGGGTCACGTTAAGACTAGCCAGTCTGTTTTGTGGAACTAGCAAGCTGATAACAGTGTCCTTCAGAGTACTGGGTCTGCACAACGATGTCAAAATAGAAATCTGAAAAAAGCTTAAAAAGCCTCACTACAGGAAAAAAAAATGACATAAATGACAAACTCCAACAAACGGCATCAGGTTTTAAGTGTAAATTAACTGTCAAGTAGAAGTTTTCAAAGTGTTTCCAGTCATTCATTAGTAAGAAGAAGGGAAAAAAAAGCTGAATTAAGTCCAAACTCATGAATGTTATGGACATATTTGTTCCCTTTCCAATTTACACTTCATTTGCAGGTGTTTTCTTGCTCATGCCCTCGAGCCATCACAAGCTGCTTTCATCCCAGCCCAAACCCATGTCCTTAACCTCTGCTCTGCTTCAATCATTGATGGATAACATCCACAGCAGACTGTCTAACTGGTCATCGCATCGCGCTCCGCATCCTGATGATGTGACTTTTTAAACACTCACTATCATCTGTTTGGCGCAGGACCTGGCATTTACACAGACGGGAAGATTTTTTCCCATGCATACTAATGTGTTCCTCAAAAACTCTCTGCTGTTTAGTTCCAGGGAATGGGCTGCTCTTTCTGGCTGCAAAAATGTGCAGGAAGTGGTTTGCAATTGTCACGCTAAGCAAAGGTTATCATGAAAGTGTTTAATAGTGCAATGCTGCTGCGCACACCAGCGTCTTTACATCCTGACTTCTCTCCCTGTGTTTCTACCTCTTACAAATTTTTCTGCATCCACTGTTTAGACCATCCCATTCTTACAATTTGGCTACGTCTCCGATGATATGCCTCTTTCTACATCCAGCATTCTTGCTGCTCCTTGCTTCTCCCCCTCAGTAAGGTCGATGGTTTCAGTGGAGAAACCCAAACATGACAGTCCCCTGAAACCCTATCAGTTATCTGTTCATTTATGTAGACACAGACCGTCGGGGCCAAAGTCAACCTTCTCTTATTAGGATTCGGTTGTAGCCTGAAGATGTTTTCTTTTCTCCTCGTTTTTGCTGTTGATACGCAGGATGTGGGGCTTTTCAAGGGCACTCTTTAATTGAGAATCAAAGAGTCAGAAAGATAATCAATTTAAGACAACACAGAGCAGACGCTGGATAATGATACTGCTTTTAGCCAGAGGGACGACATGAGCTGTCCAAAACATACAACGGAACAAACAAACAATCAAAATAGAACATTTTATTACAAGTACAAAACACAAACGGAGAAAAGGTTCACAATCAGTGCTGAAAATGTTAATTTCTTTTGTTTTTTTAACTCTTTTTTTCCTGATTGATTAAAAATGATTTCATTGCACTCCAATCCTTTTACAAAACAAAAATTAATATCACTTAAATATATATATATATATATTTAATATAAAAATGAATAACTTACAGTATATTTGAAGATAATCAAAGTATAATGATTATCTACATATACAAAAAAATAATAATTTTTGAGTATTTTGGAAATTTACAAACAATTAAGGTGCACTCAAGTGCCTAAAGCTTGGCTACATCAGTGATTATAACGAAATACATAAACAACATCAATAGACTGTATATAGTGGTAATATACAGTAGGATACCAATAGTCTCCATAACAAATATGACTACATAACAGATATGTGGGTCAAATGATTTTATGTGCTTCTTAGAATACAAAATGACATGAACACTGTATGAAACCTGTGAAACGCCCAAACGCATGAAGTCTCTGTAATGGTACACAGAGAAAATGCATTGTTTTGCACTTTAAACAAACGTCCAACCACTGAGGTGTTGTGTAACTTGACAAGTTGCTTTCCCACTCTAACTGATGTATATTCTGCACTTTTGTCAACAAACTTGCTGCCGGACACAAGCTGGAACTGCAGCACACTTGAGCTTATAAGCTGCTGACACTGTCAGTGTGGGGGGTTTCCCCTCTGAGGTCAAAAGCTTTGATCCTTATATCAGAGCATTCCTGTGAAGGCAGAGCACACAGCATGGTGGTGTGATGCCCGTAGCACCAAAGTGAGCAGCTATGAGGAGTTGTGATGGTAGTAATGTCCTTTGTTACCACACTGTCAGCTGTAAACTGGTATAGTAAAAACCACACACTGAACAGTCTGCGCTGTTAAAAGGACCCATTTTACATTTAAATATATTGCATCAGTTAAAATAGTCTTTGCAGTTTTGGTATAAAACAAATTAATTTACAGATTATTTACAAGTGATCAAAGCTAAAATTTTACGCTGCCTTTAAATGCATGTTTCTGTCTTTAAATAAGCCCATATATACAAATTAGCGTGGTCCACGACTATTGTGCAAATCCTTACTGGATTAAAATAATGTCTCTGTGGTACTGTAGGTTGTCAGCTTATGTTGAGAGGAAACCTTTGTTTATTTGAACCAGTGCAGGTAGTTTGTTTTGAGAGCGGGGAAGCACATGTTGTTGCTGCACGAGCCCCCGTAGCTGGGAGGGCATGCGGAGCAGGGTACGCCTACTTTGTAGGGAGCCTCTCCGATCCAGTTACCCCTGGAAGACAGTAACATCTAGTGTGAATGAACCACAAAAATAACCACAGAGCTAGAAAGGAAGTAGCAGTTGCCTAAGCGATTGATTTTCAGCCATTTTTTCAGTCATTCTGTGGTCTTCATTAGCAGAAAGACTACCTGGTGTAGAAGATCTTTGGGTATATGACTGAAACATTGAGTACGATCCCTAAATGGAAATGGGTGTGAAATTGCTTTTTACATGTGTAAAAAACATAAGGTTCAGATTTCAGTGACTATTGCATATTCCAGAGCCAGCTGGAATCATGCACAGAACTTCTCGTTGTAGACCGTGACAACAGTGACCTCTGCAGGACCGTGTAAAGCACAAGAGCACGGAGACCACATTCCCAGTTAGCAAGCTAAAAGTGGGTCATGAGCCAGTTCTTCTCACACGTATGTCTCAAACTAGTGAGATTAAAGAACCTCGGGTCACAAGTCAGTCACAAGTCTGGGTGTTCTTTGATTCTCTGAGATATTTAGAGACTTTTTCTTTTGGTTCGTGGCCCTCCGGTGCTTTGGTGCTCCTACCATAATGGGTGGCATTTCGCAGCTAAGCACAGAACAGAGCAAACTGTGTCAGGATTAAGCCTGTCGTCAGCGTGTCGTCATCAGGTTAACAAGTTCATTAGAAATAAAAGGTTTCCTTTCAGCGTGAAAGCTACACTACGTGAGATTGTGTAACATGAACCACACAGTTAACTGTCAGGTTAGCAAGTACACTTACTTAGGAGAGTAGTTACAAACTAAATATGTCGCCCTCTTCCACACCGCACCCCACACATTCATGTTGTGGCACGTGTGCACGGCACAGCCGACTTTGTTGGATGTTGCCCAGACCATCTGCATATTAAAAAGAGCAGCTGTTACTTGAAGTCCCCCCAGCAGCATTTCTACTGTAGCCTGAGTAAGTGCGCGACTACTACCTGTGTGTAATGGGTACACATGGGTCCGTAGCATCTGAGTGGGCACCGAGGGTTGCAGTCACGGGGGTAGGGGAAGGCGTAATCTTTCACCTCATCATACCACGGCTTCACCAGCTGAAGAATGGATCGATATCTGTGAACAGAACACTTAAATTTCAGCAAGACTCATATTATCAGTTGTGACTTGTGTCATTATAATTTTTTCAAGCAAATGGAATATCACAGCATTTGCAATTCCAGCAGCAGGGGAAATGATGGGAAAATTATGAAAATCTGTTATTTTGTTTGGCAAATTGGAAGAAGATTAAAGAACTGTTTACTATAGCCCTGATCTAGTTTTGTCCAGGTATGTGTGAAGATATTTTAGTTTCCTCCATCGGCTGACATCTCATATCTTAAACCCTTTAGTTTTCCAGTTTAGTCACTCACCTCGGTATGACTATAATAACCGACTTTCAATGGTTTCCATGGTTTTCAATGGTTCAGTGCCACATAAACAGGAATCGTGAATAAAGCACCTTGATATTGTGATATATATAAGTGTCAGTATAATGATTTTAAAAATCTTCTTCTTCACATTGAGTTTTAGATATGTTTGTATCCTATACACTAAGATACTGGCAAAAAAAGTAAAAAAATAAAAAAAAAAAAGTTTTCACCAATTTTTGTGGCTCCACAAGAAACATCAGTTTCCTTGTTGTTGTTTTTTTAGAGATGTATTAATGAGTTCAGAAGGACATGTTCAAATAGCCTGTACTCCATGTGGCTCCTCAATAAAATCTAAAAGTAGGAACACATGAAGGTGCCCTCTGTTTCCAAATGGAAAATCAAGACCCAGTAAAAGGGACAGGCTTTTGTCCTCATGGGTCATGGCTGAAAGCAAGGTTTTTGTGTTTATTTGAAGGGTCACAGGAGCATTCCTTAGCCAGTCACCAGGTCACAGTGGAAAAACCTTAAAGGGAAAGAAGAAGGGGGCAACAAGGCAGCGACCATGACTGCTGAGAGAGGGTCAGCAGATGTCAGGGAAGGGGGGGTGGAGTCAAAGGTCACTCACCGTCCTGTCCTGACTGAGAGGTTTTGACCCAGGAACCTGAGGAGGTGAGGCGGCCCATGCTCCCACAGGCAGGCATGAGCCCAGTCCTCGGCCGTCTTTGCCAGTGTGTCGTCCCACACCTAAAAACACACAGAGATTAGGTGGAAGCAAGAAAACCCATTACATAACCAAGGGGAAAATATCAGCACAAGATCTTCATTTAGCAGCGCGATATGAGATAAGAGTTGGCACACTGAGCTCTTAGCAATGTTGCAGGCGTTACTATGGCAAAACACAAAAATCATCCATCGAATTAGTTGCATAAGAGGAGACACTTTGTTTCCTAGTCACCCTTACTGAGTGACCCTTTCGAGGAATACATTTTTTATTATAATGAATGAAGGCTGAACAGCTTGTTCTACACTTGCACACAAGGGTGCCATTAGGAATGGATCATGACTGCAGCCCTTTAACAAAAAGTAGTCAACTGATTTTTTAGAGGAAAAGGACAACACTAATAATATTTTACTGATAACACAACGTAAGAGCTGGAAATGGCAGTTTTAAATCGAAACACATCAGTCTAAGCGCTTATGTTTGTCAGCCAAAACAGCATATGTCCAAATGAACAAAATGCAAGCATCAAGTCTGTTTTTGGACTTGAAACTCTTTAACATCTAACAGGTCAACTGGATGTTTCCATTACAGCAGGCTTCTGGTATCATACATGACACCCTCTTCTTTTGGAAGTGACTACCTTGGTGGTCTGCTGCAGCATGATCTGCTAAACAGCTGATGATGTCAAGTAGACCCTAAAAACGCTTCCTAAATAAAGTAGTGCGACTATTAAAATGAGCTAGCATTACTTTCATAACTCTTATATTTCATTGGTGCATGTTGGAGCTGAAATATCCTGTTCATGGAACACATGGCTGCAGTAAAATCGTGCAATAAATATATGTATATATATATGTTTAAATCAAAATCTGTCACCTACCATGTATTCCATATTGGATGCCGGAGGAAACACTTTGCCTCTCACTTTGTTGTGGTAATCAAGAATTGCGAGCATGTCGTTCTGACTAATGTACCGCTTCCTCCTGGTTTTTGAAAAAGTCACAGTGTCTGTTCCAAAGTCGAGCGCTGCGCCAAGGCTGGTGATATTGGCGGCTGGCGGGGACGTGGACACAACAGGAATAGTCACTGCCAGTGCACTTGCTCCGCAAGATATGCACAAGAGTACTAAGTCTAAGGTAAATAGCTGAGGTTTCATGTTTGCTCTTTAGCAAACCGCAGAAGAGAATATCCCACGTCCTGGAGGACTCTGAAAAATTAAAAAAGAAAGAGAGAGAGAGAGAGACTTAATGGATTGTCGTTTAAAAATGCGATGCACTACAATCCAGGTACGCTTACATCAAGTTTAAAACCTCCCTCTTTGTAACAATACAGTACAGCAACACCGGTCGCATTCCTCTTACTTTTCCTTGCGCGGTGGTACCTTGTCCCTGCGTTGCCAAGGCGGTATCACCTCTAAAGCCTCTGTGAGGGATCGGAGAGAGGGAGGGCTGCAAGTGGGTAGTTTTTGCGCTTTGCAAACTTTGTGAGTGTTTCAGGAGAAGTTCGTTTTTTCGGGCTTATATATGGTAATGGGGAATGCAGGAAGTGAGTCTGCCTCGGAGGTAGACGAGCCCCTCCTTGACACCTGAAACAGAACATCACCGAGAGGCGTTGTGTTTGTTTCCTCTTAATCCTTTCCCTGTAGAATTTGCCTAATTTCCTAAAAGCGTTAATAAAGTAAAACGACAAGGAAAAACAAGCTGTGGCACAGGTCTTTATCATGCACGTGCTTTAATGTGATTCATCTACAGATTTATTGGAGGGAGAGGAGGTTATCTTACTAATACTGAGTAAATGGACTGGACTAGAGGGTTAAGTTGTTCTTAATAACCAAACTGGCACTTTAGCTCCACATTCAGGTGACAGATTTGCACTTGCCGCATGCGCCACTGATCACATATTCAGCACAAACGCAGCACTTTTATCAGTGAAATCAGTGTGAGAGCTGGGTCTCGTCCTATCAGCCTTCTTTGTGGTATTCATCATACTATAAAGATTACACTTGTTCAGAGTGTGCCTCCAGCTATGTGTTTTGCCAGTGCATATTCAGTGCCAAGAGAGAGGAAGAAAAAGAAAAAAAAACCTTCTGCAGGTCATCATTTTCATTGGCAGCTGGTGAACAAATTAAAGCAACGTGACGCAGGAACACTTTTTCTCCCCCTTTTCACTCTCTTTCTCTCCCCCTCGTCTGCAGTCGGCAACTGGTGCTTTCCCCAAAAAAATCTTCTTGGAAGTGATGTCCTTTTCAGGTGGTGCAGTTGGTGGAAGGGATATATCATTCAAGCGGGTTGCATGGCAAAGACTTTCTCCTTCATTTCACTCCATCCATACATTTCTGCTCCTGCTCTCCACCGCTGTGGTTTCACTGGGATGGAAAATCGTCAGAGTAAGAGGGTGAATCATGACAGATTAGTTTAATTACTTCCCAGCACAGATCCAGCACTTTGTTTAATACTCAGATGTGAACCCAGTTTTTTTTTTCTCAGAAATAAGTCAGATTTTTTAAAAAGGCTATGACAGGTTTTGAGATGTGAGATTGACTCTAGTAACTCAATGAGACCTGTACTTACCTTTGAGTGAACTGTAGAAGCTAGTCAAAGACGAAAAAGTACATTTAACCCCAAAAATATTTTTCATGCACATATTTTAAAGCCATTGTGTTGGAATTATATCAGTCTACATATAATTCTATTTAGCCAATTCAGTACCTTTTGAGATAAAATGTAATTAGGTTTCCTTTTTTCCTGTTGTGACTCTGCACCGTCACATCTGCTCAGTATTTTGACTCATCCTCTCATATGGTATCAATAGTCAGGCCACTCTCCAGCCAGCTCAGCCCACCGGCCAAAGATTCTAATCAACACAGTGCTGAGATCTTATCCTCGGGTTTATTGCCATATTATAATCCATATCATCAGATTAGCTTAAGATACACCTGCTTCGCTGAATTTCACACTGTTTAATCAGCTGTGTGCCTCTGATCCAGGACTAAATAACAGAGTCAAAAGTTCAGTTTCAATGTGCAAAAGCTGGCAATGGGATTGAATAGAATACTGTACTTCTACAGTAAGTCTATCCCCCTTGCTCTGTTTCCCATACAAGCACACACACACACACATACACACACAACTCCTTCATGTGCAGCTCCTCAAGGCCCCAGATGATATTCCCTCAGTCTCAGAGTGCTGGTCCTTGTTTGCGCAGTGAACCCAGTGACTTCGAAAGAGGTTGAAGTATATTATCATATTATCAGTAGAGTAATTGGGGCATTATTTGGGGCACATGCTTCTTCAAGGGGGCCTGGGTATGTTTTGAAAAGGCATTCTTTTTTAGACAGCGCATTTATTTACCTACAACATATTGTTCCAAGTTTCCCTCATGCTTTTCCCCCTCTCCAGAGGCCTCCTGAATCCTAGAGCTGATGCCAGTACTGCAGAGGGGATGAGGTGCACTAGTGAGGAAAAGGGAAAGCAAGAAAGAATAGCCTGCAGACCATAGAAAGACTCAACAAGTGTTTCATTACGTTTCTAGATGGCAGAAGGTTTCAAAACTCAAGTACAGAGAGGAAAATGAGTAAATAGAATTTGCATGAATAGTGCAGAGCCTCACGTACAACTATGCACTCTCTGTTCATAAAAGTTTAAGCAAATTAGTCTTGTTGGACACTTTTTGACCCATGGTCTGGAGTACATCGCTCTGACTTGGACAGTTCAATAAGTAACACAATCTCCTGAGGATGCCTCTTTGCTCTGTCCATGATTCCAGCAATCAAAGCACGTGCTGTAGACTCCAGCTCAGCTGTGCACTCCACCCAAGGTTATTGTTACTTTGCTGGCAGAATCCACCATGCATGGGAAAGAGATCGGCAGCATGTGAATGGACGTATGAAAAAGAGGCATAATGACTTAAAAGACCAACACTTTTCAGAGCCTATGTGTATAATTTTTTAACAGGGCTATCCTGAGAGTTTACATTTGGGTAAGGAGTTACGCTCTTAACTCTTAAATGTAATGTGAATTATGGCTCAAAAAATATGCATATTTGCTTTCTTTCCCATAGTTAGATTCAAAGATTAATACTACCTTTCATTTCTTTTTCGATATAGAGCTGTGTAACAGATAGCACAAAGTGGGTTGGATAAGCATAGAATCAACAAAGCAATAAATTCAGATTAATATCAAAATGTATATAATGTTTGTTTATTTAATGAAAAAAAAAAGCAAAAATGTCGATGTCTCTTAAGCGGGACTAACTGAGCTGTCCTCTCCCAGCTCATAGGTTATCATCTTAAAATTCCCAACTTTACAGCATTAAAAGCATTAAAGCATATTACAAAAAAGGTTTTGACCTCTCTGGATAGTTTCTCACATCATGAAAGCTCTACATGGGTGATTATTTTTTAATAACTTATACCAGCACAGGCAGTATTTGTGTCTGCTAAGACCAAGTCGCCAAACTCACATTAGCTCCTTTTGAAACTTTTAAATGGGCATATCTGCCTAATATCATGATTTTGTTTGGTAAATAACATCCAAGAAATTGGTGCTTCTGTTTGCTCAGCCTGTTTCATAGCACTACTTAGTAGTTATGTGTCTGTGCAGTTTGTGAATGTAGCATGCTAACCAAGCTAGCTAGCTGGAGGTAGCTGATGACTTAGGTCTGCACCTTCTTCAAATATGGTAACTTCTGGATTGAGAATACAAGCAGAGAGTAACACTGAGGATTTAAATTTTAGAGTCCAGAACCAATAGGTGACCTAACATTGGTTATATCTAAGTTTTATACAGTCTATGTTCTCAGTTTATGGGCATCATGCTAACCTAAGTTAACAATCTGCAAGCTCTCGCCTCGATATCAAATTCCTCAGAAAGTCAAGTTATTCGTTTCAATCAACCATGTAGACTAATACATGTGACTGAAGAGGTCATATTAAAACCTCTATACTCTGAGTTTTATAAAAGAAACTTTAAACAAACCAACAACTTTATGCTAAACATTACCTTTTTGCCATTGGGGCAGTACAAGGGTGGGGAAGTTGTGATGTCATGAGTTGGTTTTTGTTGGCTATGGGGCAGAAAGAAATAGTGACATTTCAAGACTAGTTTACATTGGTAAAGAGCCCAGCCTCTAACTCCAAGCTGTCTCGACTGCTTTCTTCCACACGCAGCTGTTAAACATTGTATCAGTGGAATATACAGTTACATAGCAAATAGTATACGTTTCACACAGTCTGGTACCTTTAACAGCAGTTGTTACAGTGAAAAAAATCCCAAAGGGTGAGAAAACTTCAACCCAGTGTCCTCATCAGAAGTTCAGGGGTGGATTATTACTCCTTTGCTGTCCAAAGGGAAACAAGCACAGTAATTAAGTCAATAAATAATTCAGTCTTCTGTTCAGAGAGTCCTTACTGAGCTCTAGTTTGATTTTAAATTAAATTCCTGCTTTGTTTAGACTGTGTATACATCGTGGTGTTATAATATCACTGATAAAGTAACTTTTTATGGTGTCTAACCCACAAGAAGATTGTTGCAGTGCTAGTTGGTACTGAAACCACTTATTTCTGAGAGATAACCCAATTTAACAAAGTCATAGCCCTTTTCTTTGACTTCTCAATGAAATCTAAAGTGATTTTGTCCTATCCCAGAAGGGAAACAGACTATAAAGGCCATCCAGGTAAGTTAAAGACTATACGTCAAGTAACGCAGAGAGCACCTGAGGTTAAGATCAGCAGCATTTAAAGACCAGTGTGATCCCACGTAAAATAGGTAATAAACCTGAGAGGCATGAGAGACAATACACAAGCTAGCAAGTTGCTGTACCAGCGACTTTGGTCAATGGCCTATAAAGTACTAGAGACAAACTTAGCAAACATTATGTCAGCAGAGCATACACAATTAAACACCCCTTTTCCCGTAACACTGTTTAGAGTGTGGGAAAAACCTGGCGATTGCTCGAGCGGAGGGGATTCTTCAGGAATAAGCCACTCAGCTTGTGTATCTATTTTTGACATGTTACATTCCTTTGCCCCCAGATATTCTCACCCATCTATTAGACATCTACAGCCATTTTTGATACCTGGGCCTTGTCAAACTGGACAGAGACATGGCTGTGGTCACAGACAGATTTCTCACGAGGTTCAGATGTCAGCTGAGAGTGAGACAGGCAAACATGAAAAACTCCAGCAAGAGCTAAATTTAGAGCTGAGATTTTTTATGATGTATCTTTATGACAGCAGCCACAAAAAACTATCACTTTGAACTCAGCCGTGACCTGGCAAAAATCAAAACGACCAATATTTCTTCTTCGAGACATCGCCTAATGGTAAATTTTGTGAATATTTTTTTGACAAGAGTATTTCAGCGTTGTGTTGGCATCCGTGATTTTTTTTCCAACAAAGTCTGCCTTTTATTTTTTAATATTTTCAGAAGTTGTTCAGGTATTTGTTAATTTAGTTTCTTGCTAAATTAGATGAGATAAATGCTAGCAGTGTTGTCTGTATTTTATGATGTGTTGAGGTTT